TCTATCCAATAAAATAAAACAAATTAAAATAAAATAAAAATCTATCCAATAAAATAAAACAAAATAAAATAAAATAAAAATAAAATAAAACAAAATAAAAATCTATCCAATAAAAACATCAATTGTGGAAAGGGGAAGATTTGAAAAGGTTAAGTTTAAATTAAAAAAAGCTGGTCGAGATAAAACTCCTCGAGTTCAATCTTTTTTTAATCTTATCACCGTTTGATGAAAACGATTGTCTTTGATAATTTTTCTTTTAATTTAACTCTAAGAAAGGTGCTGAAAAGTTTACAACGCAATCCACATTTTAAATATGACCAAATAGCTAAACATGAGATTTGATTCTTCAAAGAACTTTTAGATCAGGTCGAGAGATTTTCAACGCCTTATTTCCGAAGCACAAAATTTGCAATTTATCCTTTTTTATTACCTTTACTTAATATCAATTTGGGTAATTTGCAGTTTAAGCCCCGCACTCAGTTTCTAATAAAAAATTCCTGAATAGTTACACTTAGGTGTAAATGTACATAGTTAATTCGAAAATAACCAAGAAATTTTTCTAAAATCTACCGTTTTTGAGTTATCAACAATAAAAGTTTGGACTTATTCGCGTCCATTCGCGTCGTGTCCATCCGCCATTACTGGCATTGTTTAAATACCTTTGCTTCTGAATAGTTATGCGCAAAAGCTTGCTTAGTTAACGGCCTTTTTACTGATCTTATTCTTCTCAATTACTACGGAAGGCTTATGGTTAGAGTTAGGGGTATGGTTAGGGTTTTTTGGGTAAATTTGCTTAAGTTATTTAGAAAAACAATGACACATGCTTTTTTATAATAAAACAAATGAAATAATGAAACAAATAATAATTAAATAATGAAATAAATTGTGATCCTAATGAAATCTTATTTTAAGGTACTTAATAATCATGCTTTGTAAAACTCCCAAATTTTATTAAAAAAAATTGAACCTTAAATTTGTTCTTGTTATTATTATTTCCTTTATAGCATTTTTTTTATTTCGTAAATAATCATGCTCTTTTTAAATTTCGCGCAAAGTTTGCGAATTGTGAGCGTATTAATCAAGACAAGTGAAGCTTCCACGCTCGATTACAGCGAGGCAAAAGTATGTAAACAACGTCAGTATTGGCTGCCGGGCTGTTGCCGCGACGCGAATAAGTCCGAAATTTTATTGTTGATAACTCCAAAATGGTAAACATTAGGAAAGTTTCTTTGTTATTTTTTAATTGAGCATATAAATTTGCACCTAAATGTAACTATTGTGGAAATTTCTATTAGAAACTGAGTACGGGAATTAAACTGAAAATTACCCTTAATTTTTTGTTTTATCATTCTATCAAGTTGATGCTCTTTCGACAATGTTCATTAAATCTTGATTGGAATGATTTTATTCGCATTTATTTTTTTGAATTTCTATCATTCCTTTGTAATTAAAAAATACGATAACTATATAAAGCGTGGTCCGGATTTGTCTTTGAGTTGGCATCGCTTAATATTGGGGACACCGTGACCTAGGACATTTAAACAAAGTTCTAATCAGATCTCTCCAACTGTAAGTGTCGGGTTAGAGGATACGGCCTATAGGAACAATAAAAAAAAAGAGCACATTTAGTCGCGAAATAAGAAATTAAAGAAAAGATAGGGCGAAGAAAGACGATGGGAATGCAAGCAGGGTGGGAGAAGAAAAGCGGAAACTGGAAACGAAAATACGGGATGGAAGGACCAAAACGAAAGAGAGGCAATCGAAAAGGGGAGTAACTCTGATTACATTGCGAAGGAAATTGGAAGAAGGCTTAAAAATAATAATAATAATAATGAATTAATAAATAGCTAAATAAAGAATCACTTATAAGAAATCCAAAATAAATGCTTGCAGAAGGGCAAAGGATAAATCGAAGTGAATGAGAGTGATAAAGAAACAAAAAAAGAAACAAAAAAGAAACAAAAAAAAACGAAATCGATGAAGAAAAGTTAAGAAAAGTAACAGACAAAAAACGCTAAGAAATAATCTAGTCAAGAACGATAAGAAATTAAAATCAGAAAAAGGAGACACACTTTAGAATTTATACTCACAAGACAATCTTTACCCGTTTTGTTTTTTTGTTTTTTTAATGTATATGGTCGTGTATTGCAGAGGGATATTGAAAGAAAGGTTAAGATTTGTTTGGCAAAGAAACGAGGAATACGAAGAAAATCGATAAAAAGAGAGCTGGAAAGTAATTCACATCGTAAGGCGTAAAAAGATAGAAAGAAAAAGTAATGAAAAGATAAAAAGAATGAAAAAAAAATTAAGGTTGAAAGCCTTAGTCGCTTCAGGCGGATGATTTTCGTGTGTTTTAACATATTCTAATTTAGAACCCTAAAAAATATTCATCAAAAGGGAGCAAACTGATGAAGCAGAATCTTCTAAGCTGAAAAAAAATAGATAAATTGCTTTTTGCTGGTGGCTTTCATTTGCTTCTTTTCGTCATTGCAATTGAATC